GATTTACAGCAGTACAATAGGAAACTGCCAGAAATTCAATCCAAATTCAGAAGAGGCGGTGGAATGAAGACTATTGCTGTCATAATGGATCTTTTCTGAACTCAGAGAAAATCAGAAAGAAGCTTACCTGTGTTTTATTGACTATGCCAAGGCATTCCACTGTGTTGTTGTTGTTGTTAAGTGCTGTCGAGTCGGTTCCGACCCTTAACGACCCTGTATAGGGTTTCCAAGGAGCAGCTGGTGAGCTTGAACCACCAACTTTGCAGTTCGAACGACTTTGTGGTCTGACGCATTAGCCCACAGCACCACACCAGATACCAAATTATGGACAACACTGTGAAGAACGGAAATTCCAGAACACTTAACTTGTGCTCATGCAGAAGCTGTACGCAGACAAAGATGGAGTCGTTCAAACAGAACAAGGGGATACTGTATGTTCTTAAATGAGGAAAGATGTGCGTTAGGGTTGTAGCCTTTCACCACGCATTCAGTCTGTATCATGAGCAAATAATCTGAGAAGCTGCTGAACTATATGAAGAACATGGCACCCAGATTGGAGGAAGACTTCTATATGCAGATGACACAACCTTGCTTACTGTAAGTGAACAGGTCTTAAAACACACACTGATGAAATCAAAGAATACAGCCTTCAGTATGGATTGCACCCCAGTGTAAAGAAACAAAAATCCTCACAACTGGACCAGTAAATAACAACATGATAAATGGATAAAAGATTGAAGTTGTCAAGAATTTTACTTAGCTCCACAAACAATGCTCATGGAAGTGTTGTTGTTAAGTGCCTTCGAGTGGATTCCAACCCATAGCGACCTTGTATAGGGTTTCCAAGGAGCAACTGGTGAGTTTGAACCGCCGACCTTGTAGTAATCAAATGGCTTTGCAGTCTGGCATATTAACCCACAGTGCTACACCAGGACTAGCTGTCAGGAACTCAAAGAATGTATTGCATTGGGCAAATCTGCTGCAAAAGACCTCTTTATAAGTGTTCAAGAGCAAAGATGTTACTCTGAGGACTAAGGTGCGCTTGACCCAGTCACCTCATATGCATAGCAAAGCTGACCAATAAGACTGGAGAAAAGCTGATGCATTTGAATGATGATGTCGGTGAAGAATTTTGAAAGTACCATGGACCGCCAGAAGAACAAATTGTCTCGGAAGAAATACAGTTAGAATGGTCATTCGAAGCAAGGATGGCTAGATTTCATCTCATGTACTTTGAGCATGATATCAAGCAGGCAAAAGACATCATGCTTGGTAAAGTGGAGGGTCAGCAAAATCAAGGAAAACCCTCACCAAGGTGGGTTGACATGGTGACTGTAATGAAGAACTCAAAATTGGCAATTACAAAGGTGGTGCAGGACCGGGCAGTGTTTCTTTCTCTTTTGTGTAGAGTTACACTGGGATATTATTTGGTCTTAAAAAGGGATGTAGTAATATTACATGCTATAGTAGGGATGAACCGTGAAAACATCATACTAAGTGAAAAATAATCACAAATGATATGATTGTAATTATGTGAAATATTAAAGGATATGCAAATGTATAGACATAAAGTAGATTACTGATTGCTTAATGCGCTGAACTGCAAAGCCGGTTTGAACCACAAGGTCAGTGGTTCAAGCTCACCAGCTGCTCCTCAGAACCTTATACTGGGTTGCTGTGGGTCGGAAATGACTCGATGGCACTTAATAGTTAGGATGGATGAAAGGCATAGAAAGTAATAGTTAAAGGTACAGGGAAACTAGCAATAGTTTAAGACTAATAGAATGTGGTTGTTGTTAAGTGCCGTCAAGTCAGTTCTGACCCATAGTGACCCTGTATAGGGTATCCGAGGAGCAGCTGGTGAGCTTGAACTGCCGACCTTGCGGTTCAAATGGCTTTGCAGTCTGGCGCATTGTAAAAATATAAATTTCTTGTGTACGTATCCTTCTCTCAAAAAACTTGCCGAATATATTGACTTGTTTTGAATGCTGCTTCCTCTGGGAAGCCTTCCCTGATTCCCTGTTATTCTTTGGGCCGTAGAGTTGGTTCCGACTCACGGCAACCTTATGCACAATAGAATGAAAAACGGGGCGTGGTCCTGCACCCTCTTCACAATTGTTATGCCTAAGCCCATTGCTGTTGTCACTGTACCAATCCATCTCATTGGGGGGGTCTTCCTTTTTTCCCGCGGACCCTCCACTTTTTCAAGCATGATGTCCTTCTTCAGGGACTGGTCCCTTCTGATAACACATCCGAAGTATGAGGAACAAAGTCTCACGATGGTGGCTTCTAAGGAGCATTCTGGCTGTACGTCTTCCAACACAGATTTCGTTGTTCTTCTGGCAGTCCGTGGTCCTTTTACTATCCTTCTTCAGTGCCATAGGCAGCTCAGACTTTGCCCAGTCCTGCACCAGCCTCACAAACTGGTATGTTTGAGTCTACTGTTGCAGCCATCATTTCAGTCCATCGCATGAAGGGTCTTCCTCGACTTTATCAAACATGATATTCTTTTCTAGTGACTGGTCTTTCTTGATAACATGTCCAAAATAAGACTGTCTCACCATCCTTGCTTCTAAAGGACAGACGGAACGTTGTTTCTAAGGCATGGTCTGGCTGTCCTTCCTCTAAGATGAATTTGTTTATTCAGTGGTCTTTGCCAACAACACAATTCAAATATGCCAGATTGCCTTTGTTTTTGTATTTTTGTTGACCAGCTTTCCCATACATAGTAGGTGCTTAAAGAGACCATGATTTAGGTCAGACTCACCTTAGTCTTCAAAGTGCAACATCTTTGCTTTGTAACACTTTTAAAGTATTTGGCAACAGATTTTCCCAAAGCTGTGCATCATTCAAGGAGCGCTGGTAGTGTAGTGGGTTAGGAGTTGGTCAGCAGTTTAAATCTACCAGCCACTCTGCAGAAGGAAAGATGAGACTTTCTGCTCCTGTGAAGGTTTACAGTCTTGGAAACACTATACAAGGTTACTATGAGTAGGAATTGATTCATGGACACATAACCACCACCATTTCTTGACTGCTGCTTCCTTAGGTATTGATTGTTGACCCAAATAGAATGAAAAACTTGACAACTTCAGTTTTGTCACCATTTAACACGTTGCTTAATGGCCCAGTTGTGATGATTCTTTGACCATTAGTAAGTGCATCAAGTTCTCTTTGCTTTCAGCAAGCAAGGTTGTATCATCCACACATCGCTGGTTGTGATTGAAACTTCCTCCAGTCCTGATGCGTGTTCTTTGTATAGACCAGTTTCTTGGACTGTTTGTTCAGCATGTAGATTAAGTGAAAGGGTCTAGCCTTGCAGCACACTTTTTCTGATTTTAAACCACAAGCCTCCGTGTTCTAGTGGAATGACTGCTTCTCGGTCCATGCACAGGTTCCACATGAGCACAAATAAGTATTCTGGAATTCCCATTCTTGGTAATGTTATCCATGTTATGACGCATAAAGTCAGATGGTTTTGTATAATTGATAAAACACAGGCAAACATCTTTTTGGTATTCTGTACATTCAGCCAAGATCTCTTCTGAATCCACTTTGAATTTTGGCAGTTCCCTGTTGATATTTGGCTACAGTGTTTTTTTTTGTATTATCTTCAGCAAAATTTTGGTGACATGTGACACTGATGCTTTTCGGTAATTTTCATATTACACTTGATTTTTTTTTTTTTTGAATGGACACAAATATGCATCTCTTCCACTTGGATTTCTTAGCGAATGCTACTTAATTTCTTCTCCATTTCTATTTTACTTTGCTTTGACATTTTATTCGATTACATTTTTTTCTTCAACATTTTATTGACAAATTTCATAGATATTATCAGGAGGGACCCATCCTTAGAGAGGTGGAGGATCAGCAAAAAATGAGGAAGACCCCCAACGGATGGATTGTCATGGAGTCAGCAGCAGTAGGCTCAAGCATAACAATTGTGAGACCAGACAGTGCTTGATTCTGTTATGCATAAGGTTGCTATGAGTGGAACAAAACAAAACAGCAAAGTTGAAAGTTACAGTGGACATTGTACCTTCTGTACTTGGTACGAAGCTCCTTGGAAATACAGGCAGTAATTTACTTCTGTCTCCAAGAGGGCTTCAAAAAGTTCTTGGAAAAATTCCATTCTCTTTTAATTCATTTGTCCATGAACTTTTTGAAGCCCCCTCATGTAAGTGTGAGGTGCAGAAAGAAATTTGGCCTTTTGCTTGGGGTTCCTGAGAGCCTCAAGGACAGAGGCTCCCCTGGGGGCCCGATAGTAACCAAGCCTCACAAGGCATGATAGAATTAATCATGAACAGGACAGTGGAGAGGCTTTGGAAGATAGGGACTCAGAGCTTCAGGTTGTCTGCTCACAGGAGGCTAGCGTGTTCTCTTCGGCTATGGAAGCTCTGTACCGGGACCCCTCCCAGACCTTGCCCTATATGGCTCTTCATTTGTACTTTGTGTTTTCATTGTTATATTAAAGTGTCATTACCGGTTTAGTGTCTCCGTTGAGTCCCTAGAGCCAATCCAGTAGATTATCAGAGCGACTCAAAGGAGTCAGGAGTCTGGTCAGCGGTAAATAGAGTCAGGTGGACTCCTGGACTCACAGTTGGTCCTTGCTGACCCAGCCCCGGGTGGCTGGTGATGAGAGAGAGAAGGGGTCCCTCCTGATATGTCTGAAGTAGAGGGGGTCACGAGGGACACTGGAGCTTGCAGCCAGTACCCACAGACCAAGTCCTGGGTGACAGTGGAGAGAGATGGGCTGCACGGAGCAGCAGGGGTCTGCTGCTTAGGAAAGGGAAGCCGAGACTCCCATAGGACACAGCTGCTGTGTGGTGTGGGGTTTATTACTCACCACACATTTGAGTGGCCCGAGTTTCCCTGGATTGATACGTACAACTAGCACCGTGTGTGAGCCGGGTGGGCTAGAGGAAGTTTACCAGCGCAGGGTATTAAGTAGCTCTGACTGTATACACTAAGAACATACTTAGACTGCCACTTTTTCACAGGTACAGATGATGCAAAATGTGCACTTGGCTCCAGAGACAGATGAGGATGACCTCTATTCTGGTTACAATGACTACAATCCAACCTATGACACCGAGGTGCGTCTCTACCAGTAACCAACACCGCACAGAAGGAAAGATCATGAGACTACCGTGGAAGCCAAAATAAAGTATATGAGGGGGTTTCAAAAAGTCAATAGAAAAATTCCAGTTAAAAGATACGGGAATAGAAGCAAATACTGTTGGATGATGATACATGGGGGGGATTGTAATTATTACAATGAAACAAAACACGATAGGATGAGTATTAAGCTGATGTTCTCCCAAGTAAACTATCACTCAATTCACAATAAAAACTTTAAAAGAAGAATAAAACAGATAATGGAATTTTCTAGGAACGTTTTGAAGCCTCCTCGTATGCTTATCTTCTTTACCTTAATTAATGTGTAAGTTAAAAGACCTAAATCATCCACTGGAAGGTACCAAAATCAGTTTGCTTTTTTTTTTTAATTGCTGTAAATTTGAAAATCTGTCTAGTGTTGTTTTTGTCCTATCAAATTGGACAAATAAAGAAAAATTAGGAAGCAGAGGTAAGCATAAAGAAAAATAAAGATCATGGAAACAGTCACCAGCTAGAGAAAATATTCACTTACTGTGCTTACATCTCCAAACATAATCTTACTCAGATAACAGATACAGCTCTCTATGGAGTCCTGGGGTGGCGCTGTGGGTTAAAGTGCTGGACTGCGAAGTCAGTTTGAACCTCAAGTTGGCAATTTAAGCTCACCAGCCGCTCCTTGGAAACCCTATACAGGGTCCCTGTGAGTTGGAATTGACTCGAAAGGCACTTAATAACAACAAATAGCTCCAGATGGAATCCTGCTATGGTGCTGTAGGATAAGCACTGAACTGCTAACTACAAGGTCGGTGGTTCAAACCCACCAGCAGCTCCTCAGAAACCCTATACAAGGTCACTATGAGTCAGCACTGGCATGCAACAGTTTTAGGTAAAATTTTAGGGTAAATTTTTTCCCTTCTAGGTAAAACATGACACCTGGAAGGAAAACAAGGCAGGAAAAGCATTTACTTATTATATGTGAAAAAAAATCTAGGAAATATTGATTAGCAATCATTTCAAAAATCTAGAAAGTCCGAAAAAAGATGACAAAACCTATTACCCAAATATCACGAATATTAGACACCTTGTCTAGTGTTTAGCTGTATTCCTTTGTCTTTTAATATACTGTTGTTTCTTTTCATTGTATGAATACACAAACACATAAGTATTGTATTCTACTTTTTAGAAACATTATAATTTAAGCATTTTTCTCATTAGTATTAATTTTAAAACCACTATTGTTGTTAGGTGTCATCGAGTTGGTACTGACCCATAGCAACCTTTGGCACAGCAGAACGAAACACCGCCCGATCCTAGGCCAGCCTCACTACTGTTGCCACGCTTGAGTCCATTGATGCTGCCACTTGGCCAATCCATCTCATTGGGGGTCTTCCTCTTTTTCTCTGACTCTCTAACTTCCCAAGCTTGATATCCTTCTCCAGCCACTGGTCCCTCCTGACAATATGTCTGAAGTATGAGAGACGAAGTTTGGTTCTTGGCATCCAAGGAGCACTCTGACTGTACTTCTTCCAAAACGGATCTATTGGTTCTTTTGGCAGCCCGTGGCACTTTCAGTATTCTCCATCAACACTATAACTCAACAGCATCAATTCTTCTACGGTCTTCTTTATTCACTGTCCAGCTTTCGCATGCATATGAGGTTATTAATAATACCATGGCTTGGGCTGGGGCACCTTAGTCCTCAAGCTGACATCTTTTCTCTTCAACACTTTAAAAAGGTCTTGTGCAGCAGATTTGCCTAATACAATACGTCGTTTGATTTCTTGACTGCTGCTTCCATGTGTGTTGATAGTTGATCCAAGAAGAATGAAGTCCTTGACAACTTCAATCTTTTCTCCATTGATACGAATGTTGTTTATTGGTCCATTGGCAAGGATTTCTGTTTTCTTGACATTGAGATGTAATCCATACCAAAGGCTGTGATCTTTGATCTTCATTAGTAAATATTTTAAGTCCTCTTCACTTTCAGCAAGCATCTGCATATCGCAGGTTGTTAATGAGTCTTCCTCCAATCCTGATGTCACATTTTTCTTCATAGAACCCAGCTTCTCGGATGATTTGCTCATCATAAAGCTTGAATAAGTATGGTGAAAGAATACAACCTTGTTGCATACCTTTTTTAATTTTAAACCATTCAGTGTTCCGTGTTCTGTTCGAACAACTGCCTCTTGGTCCAGGTACAGATTCCTCATGAGCACAATTAAGTGTTCAAGAATACTCATAATTGCAATGTTGTCCATAGCTTGTCATGATCCACACAATCGAAAGAAAGCCTTTGCGTAGTCAATAAAGCACAGGTAAACATCTTTCTGATATTCTTTGCTTTCAACCAAGATCCATCGGACATCAGCAATGATATCCCTCGTTCCACGGCCTCTTCTGAATCCGGCTTGAACCTCTGGAAGTTCTCTGTCAGTGTATGCTTGCAGCCATTTCTGTATTACCTGTAGTAAAACTTCACCTACATGGGATATCAAAGAAATTGTCTGATGATTTCCACATTCCGTTGGGTCACCTCTCTTTGGAATGGGCACAAATACGGATCTCTTCCAATCAGTCGGCCAGATAGTTGTCTTCCAAA